AATTATCTAATTTAATTATTTCAATACTTTTACAATTATTATTAAGCCGGCAAGGTCTCTGATAGAATCACAAACATTTTGTGTAATTGTACAAGCAAGAACTCGCGTTTCTAATTATTATGCAACACTTCAATAATGTTGAGTCGCCTTGAGTAAAAGGTGTACGGTAAAGACTAACTTATGTATTGGTGCTCAAACTTTAATTACTATACATAATTTCAAACTAATTAATTTAACCATTTTGGTTTTGATAAATAAAATTGATTTAGTATTACTTAAAATTTTCACAAATTATTAAACCTTGATGGCATTAAATTATATATAAAAAATTACCTACTATTGTCGTTGTAAAGCGTTATTTTATGATAGTACACTATCAAATTTTGAATAATATTTAAAATAATAAAAAAGTCTACTAACCTATAAAAAACTCCATAGGCCGAATATTTGTATTATATCCAAAATTAAAGAGAGCAAAAAATCAGCAAAAAAATTATAAGCCTAAATATGCGAATGAAAAACAAAACGTTCTGCATAAACAAACTTTTTGGTATTAATAAATTATGTGACTTTCGAATCACAGCGGCCTTTCTGTGTATGAAAATGTTATTTCAAGATGAAAAACCTAGCTAAGGGCATAAATATTGATATTGGTTGTTTTGGCAACCATAAAATATAAATCATAATTATTTAGTATGATATCGAAAAATTTGGATTGTGACCTAAAAGTTATGTGAGCCCAAAGAGGGTTAATTAAAGCACTATCAGTCACATCACTATTACAAGAATGGGCCCTAATACCAAGCATACCACATTCTGTCCAAATATTTGATATATTGTTCTCAATGATGATAGATCAAACAAACCAATTTTTGAAAAGTACTGAATTTTTTATCTAATCATGAAATATGTTTAAATTGATCTAAATAATTTGCATAAAAATGATTGTTTTGTCTAAATTTATAAAATGAATTATTCCAAGAAGATATTTATCAGAAAATGACAACATAAATTTATATCTCACACATGTGAAAACAAAATAGCAATGAGCTTTAAAGATTGAAAACGAGCTTTACAGATTGAAAAAGATAGTGCAAAAGTGTACAGATTAACAGTATTTGGTAATAGCGTATTTTATTTTAATGCATTTTTTATAGTCAGTAAAAATTCAAAACTTGAATCAAATCCCTAAATATTTCAAATATTTTTTAATTAAAATGCGTTAAATTAAAAACATTGCCAATTTTTCAAGCATTGTAATAATATTTATAGTAATAATATAGTTGATCATCATTATATAAATTTATACACATACTGAATTTATTCAATTATGTTGGCAATAAAGTTAATACAAAATTAACTGTCTTAATTAATTAATTAATTGTCTCTTTTTGAGAATATGTTGTTCAGACTGAAATTTTTGCAATGAATTAAATACAGCAATTGATTTTCCTAAGTTATTATTTTAAATGTAGCGTCCTTAAAATATAAATCTATAAAACTGATCATTTTCACAGTGAACATTTATGAGCAGTAAAAGCTTCACATCAAGAGTTTATTTAAATTTATCTTTTTAAATTTTCAAACTTTAATGCAGTTAGTGAAATATTTGTTATCTTATGCAAGTAATATGAAATTAAAATTATTAATAATTGCATTGATTTGTCTCAAAAGTCTTATTTAATTTCAGCTTCACACGGAGTAATTGTCCCTGAAGAATTACCGTCACTTCTATCACTAATTTACAGTAATATTCCGCCAATAAAAAAAGGTATCTACGAAAGATTCATTCTCATTATTTCTAACATATACCACATATAAAATTTCCATTAGAAATGAGCACGATGTAGTTAGATATGCATTTATTCGCTCAAGAATTATTCAACCATATTAAAAGTAATAGAATATATGTTTTATGCATGAATACTTAATTTTTTGATTGAGGATAAATGCAATGAAATGGCTTTATTGAAAAGAAACAAGAATACAATAATATTTGTTTTGATCAATATTCAGGAACGGATTCAAGATTAGGAGTTGGCTTTCGATTGGGTGAACATGCTGATTTTCAAATTATGGTTGAATTAGGACCACAGACGGAGACGAGACCAATAGGTGAAAAAAATACTAACATATATTCATTGGTTCACACAAATAAATTGCAAAAACCAATTTACAAACAAAAACATATAGTTAAAAATGTACCACCATATGTGGGGTAACAAGGGACAGATGACAAATTTTAGAGAAATAGTAAAAAATACGTTTCTATAATTAAAAAATAACATGGAATTTTACCGAACACAGTACGATCGTTGTTTGTTTGATACGTGTTATGTGTTGTGATGTAATTCATGTGATTTAGTCAGTATAATTACTTAAACTCAAATTGGACCTTTGGCCCTCGCTCTACCCTATATTAATTATCAAATAAAAATTTAACTAAATTTTTTATTACAGGTGGTGGAAGCGCGACAAACAAAAGAAATGTAGCGCCTAACTCTTACAGGATAAAAGATTCGGTGAGGCATATTAAATTAATTAGATTTTTTAAAACAATTTTATTAGTTCATTCTTAATGCGTATAGTTAAAAAAATTGAATAATTCAGGACAAGATAAGCTCTTTTTACACTCAATCTATTTATATATTGAAAAAAATTGCAGGACCATTTTGGTTTAACATTATATATCATTGATACGACATAGTTGAGAATACCATTCATAACCTTCACCAAACAACTGTAATCTTAATTCATATATCTCAAATTTCAAATATCTTTCACTTACCAGATATCCAATACCGATGGTGGTAAGTGGCTTTCCAACTGGAGTCAACAAATGAAGAAGGCACAGAACTCCATCTACATTGACGAAGATGTTGTTCCTAATCTCACATCACCAGACAAACCATATCTTCCTGTAGATACCATGTCTCAATTAGGCGAGCTGTACGATGCTACCAACCAACCCACAAAACGTGACAAAAAGCCAATAAATGTAAAGTTACCAACTGTGGGAGCACAAGTCCTGTCCGAAGCCCAGAAAGAGAAAAAGAAAAAAGAAGTTTTTGAGGAATTGTCTGATGTTGAATTAGAATAATTAGTTGAAATAGGTAAACTGAAGTAAAGGAGGTTAACAGTTTGATTAGTGTTTGCTGGAGTGGTTGAAGAGAATGAAAGTGGCTGTATATAGTTAGATAAAATAATGGAAATCATATGAAGCTATATTTATTTGATATTGAAAACATTTTTTGGATACTAAGTTCAATTTGATACTTCTTAATATTTGGTATTTTTCATTCGACAATGGGAGCACATTATATTATGTTCGAGTGCAGTGTTGGCATAAAGCTTCTTCGCAATTATTGATGTCAAAGCTATGGTAGTTGTATTTATGCATATCTTTACGAATATGAAAAATGTGCTTCAGGATTAAAATGTATAATACTAACGATATTACACGCCAAAATATATCATCATAATAGCTGAATGTACTATATATTATATGGTACAACATTCTTTCACAATTTCATAACGTCATATATTGCGCTATCTTCATTTATAAATTTTGATGTCATTCATACAAAATCATATTTTTTAATCTAATTATCAACAATCGATGATGATCAACAAGAAAATTATAATTTTAATGCGAGCTTGATAAATATATGGTTACCAGATTGAAAATAGAATTTTCTTATTGACTAATTAAGAAAATACGAATTGTAAATAAAATATAGCGTAAGATTAGTTTGTAGTCACCCATCTTTTTCGTCGTATATAGAATTTGGGTTAGGATAAGTAGATTCAATATAATTATTTATGTTAATTCAATAATATTAAGATCAATAAAGTATTTTTGTACAAAAATATAATTCGCGTTGATGAATGTAACTTATATTTTTATAATAAAACGTTAAAATGCATGGTAAAAGTTTTCTTTATTGTACACCCAGAATATAATGTTTTAAACTTGATATATCGTTCTTATTATCCTATATTTATTAATAGTTTGCTACGATTTATACAATGTTTAAATCTGAATCAATTTATTTACAATATGGTAGACTACAAAATCACAATATTTGAAAAAACTTAAATGCCCATACGGCATTTTAGAATTGGAAAGAGACGCTATATAAATGCGTTAGTTCCATCATGACGACATGATATAAAAGTCCAATTATTACAATTTTGACTTAAATGTTAAAGATCTTTATAATAGTTTAGAACGCATTAATATAAATGTATTGAGTAAGAAAGGAAGAGAAAAAGTCTGAACCTACAAACTGCCTCAATAAATACTCAACATTAGTAATGAAGTTCTAAAATATAATTTTATTTTATGATCTATATCGTCAATAATTACACAAGTCGACAAAAAAGTTGTCTGTATTGGATGCACGGTATATTTTTTCCAATGTAGATTTTATGTATCATGCAGAAGAATTCTATTTTCTCATTTTTTGCCTTTTGACCCGAATTTTTTGCCTTTTGACTACATTGGGTAACATATATCGCAACCCTCAACACAGCTAACTTTTTTTTGTGGACCTGAGCTATTAATAGAGATTTTTTATGATTAAATTAAACCTATAAAAAATACTATTAAATTATCTTAATGTACAAAAGTGAAATTAGAGTTTAAAAGCAGGATAGAGAGCAATATTCCAACTTAAACTTAGATTACAATATATTAGTCATATCACTCACAAGAACCAAATCCTTTATTCAAAAGCACAATCCATTATTAGTATTTGCTTTGATCAACACATTTTTGATAGCCACATCATCAGATAGCCATCACATTGGCATACGTCTCCAATTTTACAAAAATATTAATAGCAATTGCACCACTGCAAATAAAAATAATAATGCAATTAGGATCAAAATATTTAGTCTTGTCGAAAAATGAACTTATTTTATATTTACACGTCGTCTTTATACAATATTAATTCTAGTATTAACTTAAAAGAACACACTTGAGTAAATTAAATCTGTCACGTGACATTGATCTCTTCATCACTAGCGCAATCACTATCCGCATATTCATCAGGTTCGAAGGACCAACTGGTGTTGCCAGCGAGCAGTGGCGGAGCAGGAGACTTTGAATGAGGGTCTCCTCCCTGCTCCGTGTTGATCATCGCAGCAGCATGGATCGTCGAAGGCGGCGAAGGAGTCGGCGGTACCCTTGGGGGGTCCGTTTGGGCGTCACTCAGGTCCGGATGAGGATTGTTCTTGTTCGGCAGAGTCTGGTCTCGTGAGCCGCCGCTGGCGAGCAGTTCTCTTTCTTTGGAGTTGCGCCACTTCATGCGACGATTTTGGAACCATATTTTCACCTGGAAAATCAATCAGTTGTCATGTATTAATTGAGTACTTAAGTCAAAATTAATACAATAAAATATAATTTTCTTTCGTTAGGCATAGACGCGCAACGGGCATGTCAATTTCTGATTTTTAATATGGTCTTTTTGGTCAAAGCACTGCGATAAAGCAATAGTATTGTTTCAAAATAAAATTGACAATTTTCTCCTGATTGTATTTACAGTTTTCAAACTATTTTATTTTTGTAATTTGCGATTTTTATTAGCTAGGGGCATTTGTGCCAATTTGACTTTAAGTAATAATTATACTTTCTAAACTAAATAAACTGCATCACAACAACAGCAAACAATGTTCAATCAAATTCCCAGTTCATTCCTAATCATAGAGATGTGTATATTTATTGTTTTTCTAAAATTTGCCATCTTTTCCTTTTTATTTCATAGGCTAGGTAAAAACGAACAGGCAGGAGGCAAACAGGCCCAATGCCTTAATTCTTAATTTAAAGAAATTTTAGCTACAATTTTCGACAAACGCAAAATATAAATTTCATGAGCATATTTTTTACAAAGACAACACTGTACATAAGCTTGATCTCGTATTTAGTCAGAAATATTCCCCAGCAGAATTAGAATAACTAATAATTTAATTTATCTATTTTAAAACGGATTTTTTTAATTCAATTAACTTTTTTATTTGCTATTTTCTTATTGTTCACACCTTCGCCTGGGTAAAAGTACAGTTGGTTCTTTTTGCCCCACCCACATGTAAGCTTTTATGAAGGTTGTATAAAAAAATCTGTTGTATCTAACTTGAAAATAATAATAAATATTATAAAACAATTAAATAAAGTATACTTAAAAATTATATTAAACATCGTAAACTAAACAACAGTGCTCACAACCAAAAAAACTAAAAATGAATAAAAGTACTTTTATGATAGATTTTCAAACATAACCGTATATCGACTGATATCGACTTAGGGCAATGACTAGTTACATATCTTTTGCTCTCTATTTTCAAACAATGTTAAAAAATTCTTAACTTTATTTGTTTTTCAGATATTGGTAATGGACCTTTTTATCCGCGGACCTTTAAGTCTAACTCTATCCTATATAAAAGAGCAATATCTAAAAACAACTGCGGTTAGATATTCTTAGTCTACAGATTGAAATAATGAAAATTTTTATTAAAAGTTAAGATAAAGCCCAATGGCCAATGTCGTTTCAGTCTTCTTATATCAAAAGATCAATATAAATGGTTGGATTTAAATGCAAATATAATTTGTTTTTGTACTTTGTACTTCAATTTTAGATTGTATTGTTTTAATATTAATGTAATTAATTCACACATATTTGATAACCGAACCCGATATGATATAAAATTGTTCTAAAGTTAATAAATGAAGTATTTCAAAATAGCATTAATATATTTATATATTATACTAAAATAATAATTTATGTACTTTTAATATAAAGCTATTGTTTTTATTGCTACAATATGATGAGTTGATAATTTGTATTTAAAACATTATTAACACGTTTTCGATTTAACTTATGGTTGAATTTTATTGTCAATTCCATTTGTTGTTAACTGTCCTTTCATACATACCATTAAGGATTTACTATAGAAAACATTTTTTTTTAATTGTGCTATTATGACTTCTTTATATTATTTATGAAGATTTAATTTAATGCGCATATTATTTCAATATTTTTTGTCAACTGATAAATATTCATGATTGAGAATTTAGTTTAATTGAGTAGGTAATTCAGTTTAATCTCTCTAAGAATATTTAAAAATGCAATAAAAGTATATTAACTGCTTAATAAAATATATTAAACGTTACAGATGTTATTAGTGTAATTAAATACATTGTAATTTAGATCGTTTTTCTGATAAGGTTATTTTTTATATCTGTTATATTTAATAAATAATCTAATTACATTAATAATGAGATAAACTTAAATTTAAATCACAATTCAGAAAAGAGTAAAAATACTATTTTAGAATTAAAATATCTAATTAAAATATCTAATTCAAGCTATATAAATTTATAATCGGAATACAATGGATCCAACAGTAAGTCGTAGCAAGTATTCAGTTATATTCGCAAAACTCTATCTATAAACATGTTCGTAGCATTTGAATATAATGCGGAATTTGTGCAAAATTAGCCCGTGCTCTGAATATATGAATACAAAACGCCGTCTGAAACTCGTACAGTGAAGATGAAATATTAATATTACGGAATAATATAGCACTGCTGAACACTGATGGTTAATGTTTGAATTAGAAACTTCACTCAGTCGAACACTTGAATTCCGACTATTGCAGTACATATATTAGATAATATATTATTTCCATCATTCCCGATATTATATTATATACACAATCATTATTGTTAGGATATAAAACGGTAAACAATATTGCTAAAATGTTTTTTTTTTTTATTTTATAGACTATGAATTTTCATACCAATATATGATATAGCGGGGCTTTAAGGTCCGCGGGTAAAAAAGTCCACCACCGATATATCAAAAACAAGTAAAGCTAATATTTGTTTAACAACAGTATTTGCAAGTAGAGGGAAAAAGATGTATATCCATCCATAACCCTGATTCTTACGACGTGTCTATGGGAGATAAATGGCAATGTTTGAAAATCCATAATAAAAGTATTTTTGTTCGTTGCTATATTGCTTGTGAGCACTGTTGTTTAGTTTACGAGACCTTAATATAATTTTTAAGTATACGTTATTTAATTGTTTCATATGATGTACAATTAATTTTAAGTTAGATATAACAGTTCTTTATACAACTTCTATAAAAGCATACATGTGGATGGAGTAAAAAAGACCAACTGAACCTTTACCCTGGCAATGGTGTAAACAATAGAAAATAGAAAATTGAATTAAAAAAATTACAAAAGATAAATTGAATAAATGGTTATTCCAACTCTGCTGATAAATATTTCTGACAAAATACCAGATAAAGCATAACTGTGTTATCTATCTCTAAAAAATATACCAATAAAATTTATATTTTGCATTGGTTTAATAATATAGCTGTTATTTCGTAAAATCTTTTAAAAATAAAGTTAAAATTAAAATTAAAAATAAAACCTTGAACCTGTTTGCCTTCTGCCCGACCCATTTTGGGGTGAAAAGGACCAGGTGACAGATTTTTGAAAAACAGCAAATAAAACACATCTCTAAAATAATGAATTAGCTGGACGTTTTGCTAAACATAGTATGATAGTTTGTTTAATAAGTGTTCTTTGTTGTTTGTGATATAATTGGTTTGGTTTTTACAATTTGCACAACTTCAAATTGGACCTTTGTAGCCCGCCCTACCCCAACAACAATATAGTCGTCATATGAAAATATATTAATTATTGACTTTATAAAAGTAACAAACGATTCGGGACCTAAATTTGTTTCATTCAAAGCTTATTATATAATTGGCGGCATTTTTGGTGAAATTTTCACAATTCATGAGCTTCACTGCTCGATGAAAAACATTTTCAAAGCAATCTCGAAACGGATTTAAATATTACGATGGGAAATTTTCCAGTTATTATACCGCAGAAGAACGTGGCGCAAAATCGAGCCCATCACAGCCGCACAATGTAGGCCAAGTGAAATTCAAAACAGGAATATATTAAATTGTTGAAAATTCATTAGCGCCGACATGCAAATTCTCCAAATGTAAAGGTATTCATGTTAAAAGTTTATTGTTGTTTGTTTCATTGCGTTTGTTTTTGAATGAATGTTTTATATATTCTTACTATACTTTTATTCATGCGACTTGGAAAGTTTTCAGAAAACCAAAAAAGGTCGACAAATAAGATACTTTTTATTACATATTAACCTTATGTATATACTCAATCAAAAATCTCACTATAGGGGTATAAACAAACACTTAGTGTTCAGGCATCACAGGAATTATATTTGAAATTTTATTTTTATTGTTTAGGCCTTTTATAGAAGTCTTTACTCTGAATTATGTATTTTATATTTAGCACAAGCCACCATTTAATGCTTATATAATGTTTTCTCTAATTTTGATAACTATAAAAAAACACATTTTAGCACTATAAATGGATTTTACATAACGATTTATATCATGGCAATTTTTTTCATGATTTTATTTTACACTTTTAGTAGCGACAATTTATTCTTGCATTTTTGGAGTGTTTCAACATTTAATAATTTTCATAATTACGTAAAAATATTGAGAAAATGATAATGGATTACTAATAATGATGCACATTAATTTATCACGTAATAAATAGAAGTATTTTCTGTCGTTGTTAGTTGTTTTGGTCGTAAGCTCTGTTGTTTAGTTTACGAGACATTTATATAATTTTTGGATAACGTAATTCAAATGTTTTATAACAGGGTTTTCCTTTAAATTGAATTAAACAGTTTTTTTTATTAACTTCAATAAAGGTTTACATGTGGTTGGGGTAAAAAGGACTAACTGAACCTTTACCAAAGATGTAAACAACAAAGAAGTAAATTAAGTTGAAAAGAGCAATTTTACAAGAGAAAAGTTAAATAAATAGTTATTACAACTCTGCTTATTATTATTTCTGACGAAATACCAGATCAAGGTTATATACAGAGTTATCTCTGTGAAAAATGTACCAATAAAATGTGTATTTTGCATTGATTGGATAATTTAGCTATTATTTCGTAAAATTACTTTTTGAAAAATTTAATATACTCGTTTGCTGTGAATTAAATATTTAATAACATATTATTTAATTATGTGCTCAATAAACAAGTTTATTACAACAAAAATTAAATACATTTAAAATAATACAAGTCGAAAATAATTTACGATTTTGTGAATAGTAAATAATTATTTGATGATTATCATCATTATAATAAAAATATCGCTCCATAATTTGTTATTCTAATTATATGTTATATTTTTCGACTGCAACAGTATGTACAAACTACACAATGTTTTATAAAATAATTTTTAATTAAATCGAGCATCGATTTTAA